CACATTGTCTCCTGCAAAGTCCGAATCTACCATACAATCTAATACCTGACATTCTAAATTGTCATAAAATGTTAACTTTAAGTTTTTAGTTAAGTATAGATATTTTAAGACCCTCATAGCGTATTTGAAGTGAGTAGCGTTGTAACAACTTTGGTAGCGACTCAAATAATTTGTAGCGTACGCTATATCTGGTCTTGTGCCAGTGCTTATATATAGTAATTCTCCTATGAGATTTCGGTACTTTATATTTTCATCTATTTCGCTAGCTTGAGTAAGTTTAAGACCTGTTTCCATAGGTGTATCGTATAGTTTTGCGTTTTTTAAGTTATACTTTGCAGCTAAGGAATCAATGTAATTTGTTTGGCTTAGAGCCATAATTTTTTTATCTTCACTATAATTTATTTCAATGCCAATATAGCTCTGAATCTTACCTAGGTCTTTCATAGAAAATCTTGCCATTAAACTTGACTTTACTTCTTCTATTTCTCTTTTATCTTTACAGCAAATTAACAGATCGTCTACAAAAACTAATATGTATACAGGATTGTCTCTTGATCTATTTACATACAGGCAATAATCATAATTGCTTCGCACAAATTTCAATTTCTCAATAAACTTTTGAAAGCATTCGTACCATGCTCTTGGACTCTCCCTTAAACCATAAAGAGCTTTTCTTAATCTGTAAACTTTGTTTTCACCCGTTTCATAGCTCTTAGGTTCATTTACATAAACTTCTGATTTTACATAGCTATTTAAAAAGGCCGTTTCTACGTCCATTTGCTCCACATATAAATTATTTCGACAGCAGAACGACAACAACGTTTTCAGAGTTTGCATTTTACCTACGGGTGAATACACATTTTCAATATGTTCTTTTTGTTGATATCCCCTCACAACTAATCTTGCTTTAAAAATATTATTACCCTTCTTTTTATAAATCCATTTAACATCAATAATTCGTTTGTCTTTTGGTTTTTCCGTAAGTTCCCATGTGTTGTTTTTCTTTAAACTATTCATCTCTGAGTTCATTGCATTTTGCCATTCCCTATATTCGCTAGAGTTAATCGCTTCTTCGAATGTGTTTGGTATGTTTGCATTTACGTAATTTACATATATACAGTGTGTTATTGGGCTTCCAAACCGGTCTACCGGTGTTCTCTTTCTATTCGATTTTCTTTCAGCTGTATTTGGTTCTTGATTTCTGTCATCCGAATTTTCATTTAATTCATCTTTAATTTCATTTTCGTTTATAGTAACATTCATGTTATCATAATCATCTTCATTATTGTCATCATTTTCTCTAGCATTAGTCTGGCCATATTTTTTGTTATCATTTTTATTTTCGTCCCATGCACTTTCTGGTTCACTTTCGTAGCTGTCATCTTTTTCTGTATCTATTTTTATATTTATCTAAACAGATGAGACGATCATATTCTTCAACAATTTTTACATGCCTAGCATTAATTACTTTATTGTTTACCAAAACTCTGTAACCATTATTTATATATCCTACTAAAACACCAATTTCTGCTATATTGTCCCATTTAGATTTTCTTTTCACTTCAGGAACTCTTAAGGTATTGGCCCAATGCACGCTTGCTTTGCTTACTTTAGTTTGCTTTGCTTTACTTTGAAGGCTTTTATGGCCTAATGGTAGCTTTGAACGCTGTCATAGTAGTCAGCTGATTTTCATTGCGCGCAAATATACCCGCCATTCTTTGTTGTGCCAGCAAGTATAATTGTGAATTTTAGTTAAAATATATGTTATTAAACAATTATTTGTTACTAAGAACATTATTTTTTACAGATACCTTCTTTTTTATCGTTCCGGTTTTGGTGAAGCTGCATTTGGCTGCGCCACTCACCACCCGTGTTTATAAGACGTAATATTCAATTGGAGGTAAAAGAGTTTATATTAAACAATTATTTGTTGCTAACAACATTATTTTTTTTCAGATACCTTGCTTTTTATCGTTCCGGCCACCAGATTCGTTGGTTTTCATAAAGTTTCATTTGGCAGTACAAAATGTTGACTCGAAATGCTGAACAAGTTTTGAGAATTTTCCTAATTTTAGCGAAAATGCGTAAATTAAAACTGCGATTAAAACAGAAGCGCCGATTTTGGGTTCGGAAATTGTACTTAGAGCGACACAAATATGGATTGTTTGAAAGTTCATTAAGAAACTTGGCTGCAGATGAGGAGCAGTTTAACAAGACATTAAGAATGCCCTTTTCGTTATTTAATGTGCTGCACGAATTTCTGGAGGCTTCGCAGACCAAATATTCAATCAGAACACCAATATCGAGCCGCTGCAGACTATTTATAACCCTGATGTAAGAGAAAATCGGTTTTACTTAATAGTATACGTATAATTTTCCATATATGTATCTGGTTTTATTTTTTTGTTGCAGATATTTGGCTCACGGTGGCACTCGGCAATTCCACACAATAGTTCACAGGATCGGCCTGACGACTTTCAGGAAGATTACGTTGGAGACATGTATGACCATATGGGATCTGTTAGCTGACCTGTATGTGGCGACCCCGTCAGAAACGGAATGGGGACGTATTTCCAATGAGTTCAAGTCGCTGTGGAATATGCCCAACTGCGTTGGTTCCATCGACGGAAAGCACATTAATATTACCTGTCCAGCGAATTCAGGGTCGATGTACTATAATTACAAAGGCAATTATAGTATCGTGCTTTTGGCCGTATGTGATGCCAATTATACCTTTACCTGCGTTGACATCGGAGCATATGGAAGTCAAAGCGATGGCGGTGTCTACCACTTTTCAAAACTGGCAGATGCTATTGAAAATGATAGGCTCGGCCTTCCACATGATCAGCCTCTGCCAGGAGAAACCGAGCCATTTCCACATTATTTAGTAGGAGATGCTGCTTTTCCCTTACGGCGTTATTTAATGCGACCATATCCGGGTAGAGGTATTCCAGAAGAGCAAGAGTATTTCAATAAAAGACTCTCTCGTGCAAGAAGAGTTATAGAAAACGCATTTGGAATACTCACTGCCAAATGGAGAATATTGAGAACGACGCTATGCATGGCCCCGAAAAATGCAGAACAAATAGTGAAAGCTTGTATTGTCTTGCATAATTTTATTAAGCTTTCGTGTGCAAACTATGTAGCAAGCGATTTTGTTGATCGCTACGAAGAGGATGCCACCATCGCTGGCTCATGGCGAAACGAAGTAGTTCCATTGCCCTCAATAAGTAGGGTGTCATCGAACCGAGGCAGTTCAAATAATTATGATTTAAGGGATGCTCTGAAGACACATCTTTTTAACAATAAAATTTAAATAATTACTACTCACTGAATATGCTTTGTTTTTATTATTTAAGATAGAAAACAAAAATTTGAACTCACAGTATGAGGGCACTTATTGGTAATGTTTTAAATGTCGTCACATCTTTCAGGTTCGATTACATATTTATTACATATTATTACATTACATATATATATTATATATTACATATATATTCGATTACATATTTAATTCGCAAAATCAAAATCAGATTTCATACTAAATTAGATTACATATAAAGTTCGCAAAATTGAATTCAAACTGGATGTCATTTAAATTTTTAAATTTCGTAAATTCAATTTTTATAATTTTTATATTGAGCATAGACGTATTGAAGTACGTCCATTTGAAAATCTAGGCGGCTCTCTTCTGGGACCTTCTCAAACACTTCGCCAATCGCACCCAAGAAATTGTTGTGTGTTTTTTTTTGACTATCCACAAACTGACTTACTTCGTTGACTAGATCGTTAAAGGCGGCGTTCTCATCGTTTTTTTTCTTTTGTCTCTTAGCCGGCGTTGGGGCAGTGGTTTCTTGATCTTCTATTATAATGTTCCCACTCTCGCCTATTTGGAATCCAAAGGAAGTATCCAGTATATCTGGTTCTTGTCCGAGAACTTCTGGCGTTTGGGAGACGATGTTTGTTGTTGTCCTTAAAATATGTACATATAAATTACAATTTAAAATATAAATACTTGTTGTATAAATGTAAAGTACACTTACTGTCTGGGCGTGACCGTGTCTTTCAAAAACGACGCAGCACTTCCGCTAGGTTGTTGATCAACCTTCAATTCTATTCCATATCGGTCTCTTAACGATTTCCATCGCTTTCGGCAGTTTTCCTCTGTAAAGTAAAAATATAGTATTCGTCACAATTATTCGTCACAAATTTGTTATAATTTGGTTCGTCCTATTACAAAACTGCTATATGTTTGAAAAACTCTATACTAACCAGGATGTCCCACAGCAGCAGCTACATTTCGCCAAGCCAAATCTTTCTTCACCCGATCGCGGTAACTAAGCTGTCGTTTGTCCCACAAGCAGTTGTGTTTTTCAATCTCTGCTATAAGTTTTTCTTCGAACATCTTGCACTAAAGCTTCCGATATACCAACCAACACACAAGAATCGCATAATACAGCAGCCGGAACGATAAAAAAGTAAGGTATCTGTAAAAAATATTGTTGTTAGCAACAAATAATATTATTAATAACAAATAATTGTTTAATATAAACTCTTTTACCTCCAGTTGAATATTACGCCTTATAAACACGGGTGGAAGTGGCACA